GCTGTATATTATATTCAACCCCAAGTAAATATTCTTTTTTATTTTTTTTAACTGTTGTCAGGTCTTGCCCTTTTTTCTTCCCTGTATCTACTTCCATACTGACCATTTTGCTGGGGGTCAGCACCCCTAGTCAACGTTTCGCCCTGTAGATCCTCTATCTGGCTGGATTTCCCCCAAATTCTTTCTCTACCTATTTTTTTGACCCGTGGGGGCAGGAAGGACCTGGGAAGGAGGGAGGAAGGTTTAGAAGCAACATGGCCGGAGTGGATGACAACTGACAGGCCAGCAGCTTGTACCCTCCCTGCAGGGACAGCTTGGTACCACCTACGGACTGAGTAATGGCAAGTCAGCCTGGCCCATAGCCTTCAGGCTTGTGGAGACCAGACTGTAGGCTGGCCAGGGGCCCTGGGAGGCAGAGGGGGAGGACGGGGAGAGGAGAGGGCGAGAAATAGAGGAAGAGAAAGTTGATGCTAAAGGGGTCCGAAGTGCTGCTGTACACAATCAGGGGTCGCGCCCTCACTGTCTTTGAGGGTACAAGGGTGAGATTTGGGCTGGGTTGGTTGCCTGGCAACACCCTCTCCTCCACTGAAGGCTGTTCTTTGGTAACTTGAACCCCTTTGAGACTGCCCTAGAAGCTCTTATAACTGGTGTGGGCTGGGGGAGGGGGTTGGAAGGAGGAGAGGGCATGCTACAGGACTGCACCCGGCTCCTCTGGTTGTGGATCTGTGACTGCGCCAAACCTCTGACGTGGTCCTTCCTATATAACTTGAGTTTTTACTCCTATCTGGCATTGCGTATGACCTGTTTTATTGCATCTGTGTCCTGTATTCTGTGCTCTTCATCTCAAGAATGGCATGGTCAAAGCCAGTGGGAAATAGCTCCCTGCCTGCCGCCATATGCTGAGTCGATTCAAGCTTTCCGATTCCTCCCTCAGAGATCTATTTAATGTTTGTAGGTGCTTAGATGATAATTACAAAAGCAATCAGACCAATGGCCTAGGGGTCTAATATCTCCTGTGCGAGGAAGGAAGTCATTGAAGCACTAGACACCTCTAGGTATGTTTAACAACGCTGGGGAACTATCATGTTACACTAGCCCATGAACTTGCTGTGGGCAAGATGCTCTGTCCCTCTTGCAATTATTTTGGCTTGAATACAGCCAGTTGTGTCGATAGTGGAAACTCTCTCTTCATCTTTAGGTAAAATTCCTGCCCCTTGATTTTCCAGATTTGGCAACTCTGGCTCCAGATCATAAAGGACAGCTGGTTTATTTATATTTAAATCATAATTTCAGTGAGAGGGGACACTATTGCAAATCTATATGGAGGTGAAAAGTGAAAGCTGCACCTCTAGACTGCAGCCAGTTTACCATTAGATGAGGTGTTGTAGACCCTAAATCTGACTGTCATTGCTACTGAGGAGGGGACAGGACCCGCTGGAGTCCAATGGAGCAGGGGGAACTTTGGGGACTTGGAGCAGGCACTCTGCCAAGGCTCACTTTGTCTCTCCCTTACCTTTTCCCCTCAGGGACCCTTGGGTCAGTGGCTGGACAGAGTGCGGAGGTGGAGCAGGCTCATTTTCTTTTAAATATCCTGAAATTCTTAGTCTGCTTCATGATGTTTCCATGTGTTGAAAACAGCTTTCCTAGAAATTTGGACATCAAAATGTCCACTCGAATTTCCTCCACTTTAAGAACAGGAAATTTAATCTTCTCCTTTTTTTTAGACACAGGAATTGCTAAAGTGATAAAAGTGCCAGGATGACAGAATACTAGAGTAATAGGAGAAGATCCAAGTTAAAGCTCTTGCGTTCATATTTGACCCTTATGAAGTTGATTAGGTGTCAGGAGGAGAGTGGAGAATTTGCATCATTTGTCCTTGTACTTCTCTGGCTTCGGTGGAGTTGGTTTATACTTCGTGGCACCAAATATTCGGTCATTAACCATTATGGGCATTATAACACTTGAGTACCAAGGCCCAGAAAAGAGAAGAGACTTGACCCAGCCGGATCAAGACCTGTAGTAGCTCCAAGTGCTGAAAAGATTGTAGTACCTCTCCAGACATAATTCCAAATGAAATCAATACTAAACCTTCAAATAGAATGTTATTTTTTGGAATCACTCAAAGTTCCACATGTATGTTGAAATTAAAATGGCTTCTTATTAGATTCTCTTATTCTCTCTCTTTCGTACTCCTGTCGGTGGTGGTATAGGCGTGTACTTAATATGCCTGTTGGAGAATGTGGCACTAGCTACGTCACACAACAGGTCAGTGGTAGGAGGCCTTGATCTAGAAGCCAGGCCTTCTCACGTCCAAGGCGGTGCTCTGCCCTCTGCAGTGATGCTAGGTTTGAAGTCAGTTGTTCATTGAGAGTCACTGCCCTGGCATTTTTTTCTAGCTGGAACTTATCCAGTATGAGGAATGACTCCTGCTACCTTTGGGAACTGAAGAATGCTCTAAAGAATAGGCTCCATATGGCTTCTGCAGCTGGGACTTGGGGGGTGAGCTGGAGGTGGAGAGGCAGAAGGAAGTTCAACCCTGCATCATTTAGAGAATAGATGTGAGGCAGCAGACTCTCCTTCGAACTAAACATAGTCTCCTTTAAGCTTTGAGTGGGAAATAGTTTTGGGAAAAGAATCTTCAGGTAAGAAGGGATGGCTGGACCTGGGACCCTGATATTGATCTCTGAAGGCTACCTTTCCATTGGGATTTTTCAATCATAATCTTCCTGTCATCTTCAGGCCTGCTATCCTCCCTATAGCTTTAATCCACTTGTAGATACCTCTCGTCACAGAACCACCTCCTGACCATTTTGTTATTTTAGCAGAGCCTGGTTGGCATCTCTAAAGGCAGTTTTATTAAAAACCAAGGGGAATGAGAAAGTAAAATTATTACCAAAAATGTATTTAGCATATGTTTCCAAAGTATGGATTTATCATTCTTTAAAGCTTAAGTAGCTTAACAGGCTTACACGTTCTGCTACTCTATATGCCCTTTCTGGGGGCCTCAAATCATCTTTTCTTCAGATCATTACTTTCTAGCCTTGAAGAGAAGGCACAGCTTTGTCTGGACCCTGTCCCCTCTCCCGTACCCTTGTGCTGGGTGCTAGAGACCCAAGAGTTAAA